TCAATTTCGGCTAAAAGAATTGACAAAATCCTACACACTGTGCCTTTAACTCGTCAACACGTTTACACAAAGAAAAGAAAAATGWACATGTTTAGATTTATCTAAGTACTTTGTCAAGTTTATGTTGATTTTATATCTGTGAATTAGAACCAGTAAAAACYTTTTAATGTGTTTTTCTTTAGTATAACAGCCAAGGACATTTTATTTTGATTATTTTAACTTTTTTAATTGTGAACGTCAGTTCATTCTCTGTCTGTACTTGACTGTTACACTTCTTAACCAAAGGAGTACATCAATAAACATTAAAACATTTCACCTCTTGGACTGAATATATGTTTTATATTTTTAAAAAAGTCTGCTAACATAAACTTATAACTTATAACCTCCTAGCTTTATGAGTATGAGAATTGCTTACAGGTAAAAGTAAGTGCATACCCAGTACATAACGGTACCCTGTAAATACAAGGTGTGTTTTATTTTATTGTTGCCCAAATTTGTTTTGTTTCACCCAAAATTTCTTACTTTCCAAATGTTAAAGTTAATCTAATGACAGGCAAGACTTTATCAAGACACGTCTTCATGTGAAGTCTGCAGGCTGAGCAGAAGACGAGATGTTATCAAACTGAAAGGCAAAGAAAAAAAGAGGGGTTTYCTGAGAATTTTAAAGAATAATGTGATGCAAAATGGCAGGAAGGAAACAGAGAAACATCATTTATATCGTACCTGTTCTAACTTTAATAAGAAAATGCTGTCTTGTCATTAAAATGTTTACATTCCCAGAGTGACAAAATATTTTTCTGTAAAAAGAACAAACAACAGCTTGCCAAATGTAACCAGCAGAGGTCAGTAGAATGTCATCTCATTTTACAGTWAAAAATTTGTTGAATGTGCAACACAAAGATCATTAAATATGAAGCTGGGTATTAAAAGTAACATTGTGCTTGTTTGATCTCAATAATACTTTAAACACATGCAGTAAGTGCAGTAAAACCTTCATTATAAGTCAAGAACTGTTAAATCTTCTGTGTTTTACCTAATAAGCACAAACAAATTCACAGATCTGTTTGTGTTTGATCAAAAACTAACAGTTCGAGTGTGAATGAAACAAAAAAGCAAATCAGTAACAACTGTGTATAAATGTGGTAATTAAATGAAATGAAATAAAACTATAAGGTTAAWATTATTATATTTTGTAAAGACCCACTGTTTATTTTTTACCAAATGTCAGAGAACTTTTTAAAATGCTTTTTTCTCTAATCTCATGAGTTTTTTTTACAAGAATATCCTCTTTATTTTGCATCTGTGCCTTTATGACACGTAGCCCAGTCACRGATAAAGGCAAAGTTATAGAACCTCATTTACATCAGAGACAGAAGTGACTCTGAGAGACAAAACTTCTGCAAGATGTGAAGCTTTTTCCCCCTATGAGCAGAGAAGACACATTTAGTGAGGCAACAAGTGTCAAATCTTTACTGCTGTACCAGTTTTAGACTAAAAACGCATAAGAATATGCAAAAACCACAAACACTTACTGTATATCTGAAATAACTCATCTCTTTCAGTGTATTTTAGGTTTTGTTTTTACACATTTTGTGAAAGTTTGCAACTCAGAAGTTCAGGCTGACACAAGGCAGCTCAAAATAAAAGTTAGCTTTATTTTAACAAAAAAAGGTTGATGTGGAACAACAAAGTACAGAGTCCTGCTGAGAACTGATCATGAAATCCATGAAATACAATGTTTTTAGTAAGCAAAGTTTTAAAAAAATGGTTGCTTATCGAATATTTGTATATATAAATATATAAGAAAACAGAAGTATTACATTTGATTTTAACACAACATAAAACAGATCAGTTTTGGCTTAATCTGCCACCATCAAATGTCTTTAAAAGACCTCTAAACTTAAGAGAGAAAATAGATATAACAAAATTAAGCCTTTTTTTGGGCCATAACTTTTCYAGCAGATAAACGGTTAAATGTGGTGAAATACTCGTCTTCTTTTATGAGATAGTATTTGTGCACAAACGTAACAAAACTAGGAACTTTTTAAACCCTAAAGTCTCTTTGATCATGAACAAAATTTTAAATGAACAAATAAACAAAAACAGGAAATTTCTTAATTTAGAGTAGATTAACAACAAGMGCCCTTTAGAYTGGCTGCTGTCCTGYAAAAATAAATTATCCTTTAAAGTCCTACATTTCTTCTCAGGCCAAGAGTCAGTGACCTCTTTTGCTTACCTTAAAATGTCATCATGTTTTATGATTTTACTCTTTAACCTTTGTTTTCTCTCAAAGTGTTTTAAGATCAGGACAATATATGAGAAGAATAGAACAACAGAAGTAATCTTTCTTGTTGCTGTTTATCAAACACCATTCTCTCCTTGGCCCAGTTTCGGCACAGAGATGATTTTTTTTTTAATTTATTTATTCATTTCATTTATACATACTACAAATAATAACACAACACAAATAAAATGAATGAATATTTATTGTCTGTCTGGATAACATACTGTATAAATGTGTGTATTTGAAACTGTCCCAGGGCACACATTTTTTACCACTACCCTGTGTGACATGATGTGTGTCTTGCAATTGCAATAAATCCTGTTGATCATTTCAGGGAAGACTTTTTATTCTTGGATCACGTGTTTCTGTCTAGGTAAAAGAAAGATTTCCAAAACAGCTGCAGATGTGACATTTAGGAAGGAACTAGTCTCACTGGTGGAGGAAGTAAATGTATGAAAATGCCAGTACAAAAACAATACTGTGATTCTTTTTTTTAAAATGTTCTAATTTCTAATGTTAGTCAATATTTTTTTGTAAAATTTAGAAGAATAAATGACCTTTAATATTATCTTTAATTGTGTTTAGATCATTTTAAACAAAAAAATACACAGAACAAAGAGAACTGCATACAGTTAACTGAAGCAATGATAAGAAAACTTTAGTTTTGTTTGTAAAATCAAATGTTTTAAAAAATAACTATAGGGCAAAAAATACCGTGAATTCCCTTTCTTAAAAAATAGGTTGTATCATGTCCAAAAACATTAAAAATGCTGTAAAAGCCAGTTATATTCAACACTGTACCTCGAAGGCCACTAACCCTGCTTCAACGTGTCTAATTTAATGCCTCAATTGCCTCTTCAGGAATTCTGTGTGGTTCTACAGAAGCCTGCTGATCACTCACTCATTCAAATCAGGTGTGTTGAAGAAGAGAAACATCTCAGACATGCAGGGTAGTGGCCCTCCAGGGTTAATGTTGGACAACAAAAGCATAAAATCAAATCAGAAAAGCATTTATTAGAGAAAGCTGACAATGTCACGACTGTGAGAACTTTCCTCAATTATTATGCTAAAATGACCAAATCAAATATTTTGTCATCTGTTTTTTTTTTTTTTCATGAGGTAGACCTGCTTTGAACCCACTGATCTGATACATTTAGTATTAATCTTGRTTTCTCTCGTTAGAACGTGAACCTGGTCACCAAACTAACACAATGAATATTCATCAAAGTTCAGCTGAAGGTTTCCTCGGTTCTGCCCCCTCCTCGCTCCGTGGTACGTGGAAGTCCACGTAAGGACACCACTTGGTGTTGAGACACACCAGCTTCTTCAGAGTGGACGTTTTGACGATGTCGAAGCCCGTCTCCCCTCCGAAGGTGCTGGGCTTCCAGTACTCAGGGGAGTTGATGGGGTTGCCCAGCAGGCCTTTCAGGGAGAAGGGAGCACCCATCTCCACCATGCTCTCACCAAAAATAAAGTTGGGACGGGTTTTCTCCAGCATGAGGCCGGGGTAAAACTCCAGAGCGTCGATGTCTCCGTAGAGTTCCTCCAGACCTTGAGCTATTTCTGTGTCATCTGTTTGGAAACAGAGAAAAATAAAGAATGAACTCAATCTTGTTGGAGCTTTGACTGTTTTTGTGAAAAATTCCTAAACATTTGCTCAAAATATGCTGCCGTAATTCAGCTTAATGATAAATTAGAGACCAAAAAAAAAACTAAAATACTATCACTCTATGCAGATGATACTCAACTATACATCTACATCCTACAGATCCCCACAGAAGTACAAAAGGAATTAATACAAATGTGCAAAATAAAACAGTAAGAAAAGTTTACATTTCATCCTCTTACCCGTTAACTCAGAAAAGGAAGCGTACGGCTTCAGGTTAAATCTTTTCCTGTACTGATTGAAAGGCTGCAGCCGTGCAGCTCGGGCCTCTTTGATGATGGTTTGTGCCACTTTGAGCACCACCTCATGAGTGTTGCGACCTCCACCAATCTAAAAAAACAAGAAGAGAGATTATATCTAAGGTTACAGGAAGTCTGTGTAAAAAGGAAGTGAATGAGTTTGTTTGTTTTGTAAGTTTTATGATTTTTGGTCTATATAAAAATTAAACAACTTGTAGGTTTTTATAGGTCTGTGACTGTGTTTTACTCTTTAAAAGAAGTCTGACTTCTCTTCATTAATGAGTCAGCAGATAAGAAACAGCAAACAGGAACTTCCCCTTGCTTCGTGTCGTATGTCTGTTTGTGTGATAATCAAAATCTAATGAATCATCAGCAGTTTATTAGTCCTGGCAAATTAAAAAATAAACTAAAAGCATAATTTTGAAATCAAATTTAGCTTATTTAAACAATGTGTTCTGATTTTATCACTCATCTGAGCACCTCACATCAGCCATAATCCAGTTTGTTGCAAACTCTACAAAATTGAGAAAAAAAACTTTGTGGTGAGATAAAATGTGGCTACTGAAGCTAAGATGTGTTTCTGATATTTCAAAATAAATTACTTAAATGGGAAATATTTAGTTTCAAATGTAACAAGAAACCATTACTAATTTAAACAAGCTTCACTTAAATGTTTAAATAATAAATTAAAGCAAAATGTGCAAAAAGCAGGAAAAAATGCATTTGGTGAGACTTTAAAGCCAAACGTCAAATACAGAATTTAATGCATTTATATTTCTACATTTTCAAATGTACTGTTTAAAAGCTGCATAACAGGCTGTCATTTCATTACCTGTCCAGCAGGCTGCCGAGAGAAAGCGTCCACCAGCTTCTCTACGCCGTAGTGCATGAGGACGGAGGTGTTGTACAGAAACTGGGAGTACGGGATTTCATCTCCGTCTATGAGAAAGCTGTCTGGCATCAGCGGGTGCCAGTGGTAGAGATGGCAGAACTCCAGGGCGATGCGGTTAGTGTACTGGAAACGCACGTTGAAGAGCAGGGAGGGGTCGTAGGTCAGCTTCAGGTGGTAGCCACTCAGGTGCTGCACGTACTCCTCTATAATGATGTTGATTATCTCACCTGGGGACAAGAAATAATATCAGTTAAGGCGATAAAGACCAATGAAATAGTAAAAATGACAAGAGTTTTAAAGATGCACACGTAGGCACAACATACAGTATACTTAGCATAAAAATTAAGGAAATTTGTGTTTGGCAGATTGTTTCTTTGTTGTTACAACACTTCTTTACAATAAATCTTGTTGCAGGCACCTGARTGGCAGCACCAGAAGCTCAAAACAAGTGTCATTAACAGCAAAATATGCTGTTTTGCTAATTTTTCATGTGCACAACCCACAAACTCAGCTCTACTGCTCATCTCACAAATGCATGTTCCTTACAAATGTGGCACCATTTTAAAGGAGAATTAGGCTTTCCAATGGTAGAAGATTTATACCCCAGAACAGGGCTATTCAAGTGGCAGCCTGTGGATCACATCTGGCCCGCGAGTGACCAAAGTTCGGCCCACCAAATGGTTCAATCATCTRTTAAGCCCAAACCCCCGGTTTTCTGATTTAATTACTGTTATTTTAGTAAAACATAGACTTTTTGTTTTGGCCCTGTGATGGACTTTAGARCTGTCCAGGGTGCACCCCCGCCCCTCGCACTGTGACWGRTGGATATCGGCACCAGTGACCCCCGTGGCCCTGAAAGGAATAAGCGGGTATGGATAATGGATGGATAAACATTTCTATGAACACTCAAGACAGTTAAAATTACAAGCAGTTGAAGATAAAACTATGAAAGTGAAAATAAAATTGGTCAGAGACGTCAAACTAATATGTTAAATATGAGGCARAACATGTTCTTTTTGTTTTTGATATTGTTTAATRATCACTACTTTTATAGGGTTCTGTATGTTGTACTCATGATTAAATGCAGCAAAATAAACTACTTCAAAGGAAACAGATATTTATAATACTTGGTTTATTTACATAATGACTTTAATTGCTGGATGTTTGGTGCCTGAGCTGTTGACCTGCAGTAACTGTGACCCCTGGTGAAATTTAGTTGAATAGCCCMMTCCTAGAAGCTTTGTTACAAAAAAATATAATGTATCAAATACACATTTCCTTACTTTTTGTTCTGTTTTTGTATTTAATTTTAGCATCAGTTGTGTTTTTTTAACATCACACTAGCACTGATTAAAGGATTGTGCTTTGTTTGCTGCTCTAAATGCCACAGCGTTACAACTCACATGGTTTGTTGGAGCTCTGAGTGCATGATGGGGATGACGCTCAGCAACTACCACACCTCTTTGTAGCTCAACTGATGTAAAACAGAGTTGTAACTATTTTTATGATTGTTGTGGTGATTATTTTCAATGAAGCTGACTTTAAATGCTAATTAATTGAAGAGGTARGTGATAATAATTACTTTCTGGGAGGTTTTTTTTTTTTAATTTATCCAGTGGTTTATGAGATATTTTGCTAACAGACAGACAAAAGAACACATCCATGCAACCAAGAAGTAAACATTTCGTTTGGAAACACATCGAGCGCACTGCTGACTCACCGATAATGATGAGTCTGGTAGTCTGGAAAAGCTGCTCGTCGTCCCAGGTGGGATGTTCTGCCTTCAGGACGTCACAGACTCTGTTGTGCTCCCTGAGCCAGACGGTGGCGTACATGGTGAGGCCCGGCAGCAGGCCGAACACCTCCTGCCCGATGGCCAGGCGGTGCTCAGGAGGGGAACCTTCGGGGTACACCATGTGCACGGGGGCCTCGGACACTTTAGGAGGGTACATCTCCCCATTTACCAGCTGTGGAAGGTTTTATAAGGATAAACCTCAAACATCCCACAGATCTCATTTATTTAATCAGTAAAACATTATCTTTAAGTGGCGTGTCTTTTAGAAAAAAAGGCTTATCTTTGATTCAGATCAGTCAATAAGATAAAGTGTTTTCAGTTTCCAGCYGAGCACAAACCGACTGATTTCCTTTTTTAAACCACCAACAGTTTTATCTTAAAAACATTCTGAGAACTCAAATATTTACAGGAAGCAACACTCTTTAACCAGTATATTGATATATGTTGAAGAGGTGAGAAATTCAGCTTCTCCAGCATATCTAATTCAACTGAAACATTTGAAGAAATATAGAACAATTTAATATAAAAAATGCTAACTGAATATGTTTCAAAAATGGTTATTTCTCTTTTTACATTCAAAAGTCTTTGATGCCGATCTTTCTTCTTCTATATAATAAACTATATATTTTAAATAATACTGTTATAATCTGAGGGACTATCACAGGCTTTAAGAATAAAAAAATAAAAACATCTGTAAACTGGAGATAAAACATGAAAACTGACAGCCTGACACGTCCCAATGACTCATCGGATGAAACCTTGAGAAATTACTGTAACACATGGTCATTGATGAGTCAGCATTCACACCTTTGTTTCAGTTTAGTTTTCAGTTTTTTTAACAATAACTTCTGCATACTTTATGCTACTTTCAAAAAGTTCAGTTCATTCAGCAGATTAATACAATGGGGATGACTTCTGACTTAAAAATACTTAACTTTAAGATAGATAAAGTTTCATAGAATTTCATAGAACTAATTTATCTTTTTATTCCAAAAAAGAGCTATTTGAAGTGTGCTTCAGCATACTTGCTTTATTTTTGTCGTTTTGTGATACTTTTCACAACCCTTTTGCTACTGTGGCTTTTAGTTAGCCTTACTTTTAGCTTTATTTTTATTAGCATTTTGCTAACCTTTTGCTGTTTTTTATTTATTAGTTTGTTACTTCTCCTTACCAATTTCCTACTTCAAACATTTATTTTAGTTACCTTTTTTTTTTTTTACCATATCTAGCTTTTAGGTAGCGTTTTACTACTTTTAGCTAGCCTTTTGCAACTTTTACTTTTTGCTTGCATTTTCCTTTTTAGGGGTTTTTTAGTTGGTGTGTTGCTTCGCTTGCCTTTTAGTGTTTAGCATCTTCTAGCTTTTAGCTGATGTTCTATTACCTGATATTTTAGCTTCCCGTCCTCATGGAGCCGAAGCTGATGCTGTCGTTCGAGGTCTTCTCCATAGATGTTGCTCGCATCTACCTGAATAGCACAAAACACAGTCTACACAACGCTTCCACACCCTGTGTGTGAGTGGTTGTCAGCGTGTCTCACCCCGTGGCCTAACGCTCTGGTGAAGCCTCCTTTAGCTTTGTGACTCYTCTTGAAGAACTGATGGGTGAAGTGCTGAGCCATGAAGGCAAACATCAGATTGGTTCCCTGAGGATCCGGCCTAAACTTCTGTCTTTTGAAAAATCTCTCTGTCAGCACTTGGATGTCGGGAAGAACAGGTTTACCTGCAGAGGAAGGAACATTTGTAGCTCTCTTCAGGACCAGGCATCATCGGCGCTGAGTCGTTTCTCACCTTTAGTTCCCATCGGCACAGGGCAGTCCTCGGGTACAGGAGGAAGGAGACGAGTGTAGTAGGAGATGTTCTGGTACGATTCCCAGCTGATGTACCCATATTTGGTGTTGTAGGTTGGAGGACTTGGAACAAGCTCGTTTCTGACTGTGATGGACAGAAATAAAGGATTCAGATGGCTTAAAAAGATCTGCTGAGTCATGATACTTGTGCACAATTTATCAGAATCAGAAGCTTTATTGGCCAGGAAGGAATTTGGTTTTGGTTTATGCACACTGAACAAGGAAAAAAAGACTCAAAAGTGGTTTGTTTGCCAGTTTATAACAGTCTAACTTACCAGTGAGAACTATTCTCATGATGGTGCCTTGCAGAAAAGACCTGTTAACGAGTTCCCAGAACCACTTGAAATGAGTCAGGGCGAAGTGAACCACTGCAGGGCTGGGCTTCAGCAGGAGGCGAATTCTGGTCCAGAACTCGGCTGCACAAAGGAATCACAACAACAACAAAAAATTGCTTTTAAGTTTTATAAAACAGGCTCTATGTTATAAAATACACTTTGTAATGAGCAGTTTTATTTAAGAATCAGCGTTCTTACGACTGGTGCAGTTTTGTCCGTAGAAGCCGGTGCGAGTGCAGTCACATTTGTAGTCGTCCGGTCCAAATCGCACACACACACCTGAGTTCTCACAAGGGTAGGAGCAACAAGGATTCACTGCAAAGATGAAAATAAAATRATCAAAGTGCAAAAAGCATCTTCCAAACATCTCTCTGACCTGTCTGCCACCCGGAGAGGATAATTTGCCTTTAAAATCTTTACTTTTATGTATTTTTCAGAAGATTTTCTAACCAAAACAGTCAGTTATACWGATATGTGTCTGTAGAGTTTTATATGTCAGGTATGATCATTTTCAACGTCAAGTGACTTTGTTAGGATATGACAGTCTGAACGTGAAACTAAATAACTGCAACACAGAAAATGACTTATGTATAACCAAAGGTTTAGAAAACAAGTGCACAAATATACAAAAGAGATGAAAAACCACACTAAAATCTACATAAAAATGCTAAATTAAACATTATGAGGGTTTTACTTTAACGTATGAGGTGTTTGCTACATAAACTGTAGTTTCTTTCTATAAACATACTTATTCAAGAACATACACATCATCATTTACTATCTACCTCATTTCTTAGGTTGCGTAAGATGCTATTGATTCATTTACTTTGACCACAATTTCACCACAAAGACCAAAGAGCTCTAAAAGGCAGAGTCTTTCTCTGCATTCAGAGGATTCAGAGTAACAAAGATACTGAAAGCAAAGAAAAACATAGATGACCTGAGAGTGTTGAATATGTATGGATCAATACAGCCATGTTTTTGTGCATTTATACACATAAATCTTAGCTTTTTCAAGCTGAAACTGTCCTAAACTTAGCTTCTACTCTAATATGTAATAATACAGTGTGTGATAACAAAAACATTTAAGGGTCCATGACGTGACTCAGATACAGGCACTGGAATTAAGTCTGAAGCTGTTTCTTGATGGCTAAATCAGACAGCCCAACCACTTCCACGTATCTTTAACAGTTGTTGTGTTACGACTTCCTGTCTCTTCTTCATACTTGCAGAAGTTCAACYTGATAAAGTTACTTCGCGTCGTTGTTTCTCTCCTTACTTGCTGCACGGACAATGCCCACAAAGCAACACGTATTTTTAGACACAGAGCGTGTGGAAAAGGCACACTGTTTGAACTCAAAGTTTGACTGAAAGGGAAGGTGGCGAGTGATGTGCACTCCTTTGAGGAATGCTGCTCCTTTATAATTTTATACTCAARAGAACAAGAACAAGAAGAGCTTGGGAAATAAATTAAATTATTTCAGTCTCATATTTGGATTCTACTGCGGACTGTCATTCAGTTCATTAAGCTTTTATTTGTCTTAAAAAATCCACATGGTTCAAATAGTGGGGGAGACCGGAGACAGTTGCAACACTTTTTACATTTGACTCTGTTACTCAGAGATYTTTTAAACTAGACAAAACAAATTTTAATGCAATAAACTTACATCTGCTTGTTAATATTCAAAACCATTTATAGATGATTAAAGAATGTACATTCTTCACAATTTACATTTGAAAATGAAAAGTCAGATGTTGTAACTTGACCCCGGTGCAGGGGACAGTTGCAACATTGTCTGGGGGTGGTTGCAACATGTTATTAATACAATATATTTCACTGTAAATAAAAGTTTTCTTATTTTTATATTTATATTAATGCTAAATTTATAAAACCTCTAAGTTATAATGATATTATAGTGTTATTTATTTATTCTTTTTGATCAAATGACGAATATAGATTTGACTTGATGAGTAGACCTTATATACAGATGTCAAAGACTCTAACTGATATAAAATAAAGTTTGAAGTGGGTCACAAAAACAGTGACATTATGTTATAAATATAAGAGGATAAAGATAGTTTCTCACCAACACATGAAGAGCTCCTCAGCAGCATCAAAAGCACCCAGAGGGAAAGGAAGTTCAGCTCTGTTATTAATAACAGAGTATTAATAAAAAAAACAGTAACTGGTTGTAATGTTGATCTATTTGAGGACTCACCTTTCATGATCGTTCACAGTGAATTAAATTATAGTCACAGTGTTAATCTGAGAAAAAGTGCTGGTTTCTCCATCCCGCTCGGTGCATCAGGGCATTTATAAACTGTTGAAAATGGGCGGTCACACACTTTCCTTCACTTCCTCTTTTTAATACATTTTAAAGATAAAGCTCCTCTGGCATCAAAGTGTTTGACAATTTAAATTTGCAATGAAACTGTTGTCCAATAAAAATAGTTTTGTTTGCAATTAATTGAGCAAAAAGAAAAAAAAAACAGCTTGAAATGCAAATTGCATGTTTGTTTTTTTGTTTGTTTCTCAATTCATTGGAAGGAAGCAGTGGTTTGTAGCTGAGGGAGACTCTCAAAGTGTTTTGTTGCCACCTGCTGCTGAGCAATTTACATAAAGTTGGTTTCACTCTGAATATACAGCTGGTAAAATAAGTATTGAACACATCAACATTTTTCTCAGTAAATATATTACTAGAGGTGCTAATGACATGAAATTTTCACCAGATGTTGGTAACAACCCAAG